AAAAAAAAAAAAAAAAAAAAAACAGAAACAAGATTGCATTCACAAGCATTTATTTGAAGTACAGGAGATATAGATTTCATTATTTGTATTTACCTGTCATTAACTTCCGATTTCATATATTACTATTTTTTAACAAATTCACTAGTGAAAAAATATGGTGCTAAAGGATAGTTCACGACCAAAATGAAAATTAAATCATTAATGTCGTCTATTCAAACCCGTATGACTGGAAATTCTTCTAAACACAAAATAAGAAATAAAGTCCATGGACTTTAATTGTATGAAGAAAAAAAAAAAAAGAGACATTTTTCAAAAGACCTTATTTTGTATTCTAGTCATGGCCAAAAGTTTTGGCAGTGACATAAATTTTGTGTTTTGCAAAGTTTGCTGCTTAAAGGGTTAGTCCACCCAAAAATGAAAATTAGCCCATACATTACTCACCCTCAAGTCATCCTAGGTGTATATGACTTTCTTCTTTCAGACGAATCCAGTCAGTTATATTAAAAATTGTCTTTGATCTTTCAAGCTGTTTAATGGCACTCAGCGGGTGTTGCATGCATCAGTCCAAAAGAAGTTAAATAAAAAGCGCCCATCCATAAAAAAAAATTGAAGAAGTTATGAAGAACAATGGTCAACACTGTAAATAATGATTCATATTTTTTTGCCAATAAAAACCTATGATATGCTTATCATTGTTTTTCAGTATACCATAGAATAGAAAAATTATCTACAAATACTGAAGCTGCAAACTTTGAAAAAACATAAAAAAAATTTGCCCATGATTGTACATAAGAAAGTTAGTGATTCGGTATTGTACATGATGGTGAGTAAAATAATTTTCATGTTGGGGTCAACTATGCTTTTTCCTAGGCTATTTTTAAAACATACTCATAGTATGAGTTCTTCCATTGTACATGAATTATATTGATTAATTCACAATAAATGATCAAAACTAGTCAAGGCAGAAACACTTACCCTTCATGGTAAGCAGCAGCTTCATTTTGGCCGACGTTTTTTATTTCCTCCCTGGATGCGGATGTCAGCTGTAACATTACCATCATTAAAACACAGTATAAACCAATCAACCATATCTCCAGCAAATGCCTAAACAGCGGAATTCCTAAATACATTAGTCTTATGGTTTAGTCTCTATCTATTTCATGCATATATGAAAAACTACTTTTATGTGTAATGCACAATTACATATACAACTAATACAAGTTCAGTAATCTCATGTTCAAGATGTTTACTAGAAGCAGGTACAGCATATTAGTTTTTAATTTGCAATAAAATTAGCAATTTTACTTGCATTCATATTTGATGTACATACAAATAAATACAGTGCAGTGTGCCTCATTCATGAAACACCAACATAATGAACTTGTATATAACGTTCATAAAACCATGCTCACGCAAACCGCTTCACTCAGTGTGGCAAAGTACCTAATAAAAAAGTTTTATGAACGATTTACACAGAAATCCGTTCTGCGCCTGTTTTATGAATGAGGCCCAATGTGTGAAAAACGTAAAAAAAAAAAAGAATGCACAAGTCTAATACCAGCAGTAAAAAGCATATCAGTAAGAGGCAAAGACAGAAAGGGTTGCTGTGATTTATTTGAGCTAGCACAGAACATGTGCAATTACACCAACTATCTGTAGATGCTAAAGTAGCATGGTAGCAATGTGAAAATTATAACACAACATTAATTCCTTAAAAAAATTGAAACTGGAAAGAAAAGCCATCAATACGGAGTACAGTGTAATAAAAACTACAGAAGCCAAGCCTGACATTTTCTGGCCAGAGTTGTGAACGCATATGTCCTTGAAGCATGAACTCCACACCATTTCTCTTCTCTGAGCCTGGATCTTTCTGGATCCTGCATTAAAATATCTTCATTTATTTAAATGGAACGAACAGAGCAAATGGCTTTACAGACTTAAATGTTTAATACACATCACATTCATTATATGTTTTACATTACCTTTGGGAAAAAGGAATGATTTCTGCTGGAAACAAAATAAGGAAACAAGTAGCTCATCACCAGGTGCTTTTGACAAGATAGCAAAACTTTTACACATACTAAGGGTTCATTACTTGATGAAAGTTTTCATTTTCTTAGAGGGATTCCTTCCCCAGCACCCACTTCAGAATGAATGCTTTTCAGTCCACGTTTTCACTGGCATTACCTGCCAAAAGGTTAAGAATAGACATGAAACATTCTAACTGGATAAAGCAAATACAAAGAATACTTCAAAATCACTTATTTACATTCAGAGGTATCATGTACATCCCTAAACCTACTCTTTGAAGGTCCTTTACAAAGTCTCAAAATTGAATTCAAATGTATCCAAGTTTAGTTGCTCAGTGAAAGAACCAGGAAGGGGAGAGAATGACATGGGTTCCTCAGATTCCAGAGGGTTTTCCTCTTCATTATTTGTCTGCATTGTGTCCTGACTATCAACTTCCATCACAGTTATATCCCCCACAGAGATTTCAATAGATTTAAGAACTTGTTGATCGTCAAAATCTTCCTCTTTTGCATTATCTTCATTTGGAAGGTCAGGTTTTAAGATGGCATCCTTAAAGGCTTGTTCAAATTCTGAGTCCTCGTTCTTGGGAGATTCCTCTCTCTGGGCAACATTCGACTCCTCATTCTTGGGGGGTTCTTCTGTCTGGGCAACCTCGGAGTCTTCGTTCTTGGGAGATATTTCTCTCTGGGCAAGATTTAAGTGCTCATTCTTGGGGGGTTCTTCTGTCTGGGCAACCTCGAAGTCTTCGTTCTTGGGAGATATTTCTCTCTGGGCAATATTTGAGTCCTCATTCTTGGGGGGTTCTTCTGTCTGGGCAACCTCGAAGTCTTCGTTCTTGGGAGATATTTCTCTCTGGGCAATATTTGAGTCCTCATTCTTGGGGGGTTCTTCTGTCTGGGCAACCTCGAAGTCTTCGTTCTTGGGAGATTCTTCTCTCTGGGCAAGATTTAAGTCCTCATTCTTGGGGGGTTCTTCTGTCTGGGCAACCTCAGAGTCTTCATTCTTGGGAGATTCTTCTCTCTGGGCAAGATTTAAGTCCTCATTCTTGGGGGGTTCTTTGCTCTGGACAACTACTGAGTCTTCGTTCTTAGGAGATTCTTCTCTCTGAGCAAGATCTGAGTCCTCATTCTTGGGGGGTTCTTTGCTCTGGACAACTACTGAGTCTTCGTTCTTAGGAGATTCTTCTCTCTGAGCAAGATCTGAGTCCTCATTCTTGGGGGGTTCTTTGCTCTGGACAACTACTGAGTCTTCGTTCTTAGGAGATTCTTCTCTCTGAGCAAGATCTGAGTCCTCATTCTTGGGGGGTTCTTTGCTCTGGACAACTACTGAGTCTTCGTTCTTAGGAGATTCTTCTCTCTGAGCAAGATCTGAGTCCTCATTCTTGGGGGGTTCTTCACTCTGGGCAATTTCTGAGTCTATGTTCTTGGGAGATTCTTCCCTCTGGGCAAGATCTGAGTCCTCATTCTTGGGGGGTTCTTCACTCTGGGCAATTTCTGAGTCTATGTTCTTGGGAGATTCTTCCCTCTGGGCAAGATCTGAGTCCTCATTCTTGGGGGGTTCTTCACTCTGGGCAATTTCTGAGTCTATGTTCTTGGGAGATTCTTCTCTCTGGGCAAGATTTGAGTCCTCAATCTTGGGGACTTCTTTTTGGGAAACTACTGACTCCTCATTCTTGAGAGGTTCTTCTCTCAGTGTAACTGTTGAGTCCTCGTTCTTAGGGAGTTCTTTTTGGGTAACTCCTGACTCCTCGTTCTTGAGAGGTTCTTCTCTCATGGGAATTTTCAAGTCATCGTACTTAAGAGGTTCTTTGCTCTGGCAAACATCACTAACATTTTTGTCTTTATTGTTGGACTCTCTGCAGGTTGAACCACTGTCTTGAGGAGCAAATCCAGAGTTTTGTTTGTCACCAACACTGCCACTGACAGAGGTTTTAACTGCGGCACTGCCACTGTAGAAAATGTCAAACAAATCTTTTGCTTTTCCTGCTGCAAGAGTTGTCTTTGGCTTTACAGTTTTGGGAGGCAGGTCTCTGGCATTAGAAGAAAGCTGAGGAGGAGGACGAAGGATTACGGTGAGCTTCTGCTCCTCCTCAGGCACTCCAGGAGCAGCCACATCAGACTCAAGAGTAATAACACATTGACTGGGAGTAACAGGTTTCATCTGGCTGGAATTTACCATTTTTGGCGCTGCAGTGGGAGACTGAACAGGTACAGATATGCTGAAGATATCTACAGGGTTTGCAGGGATGTCCTTTGTTTGTTTTAATTGCACCTCTTCTCCACTAAATGCCTTAGAGATGAGGTCTGCTGACAATGTTGGGCCCTTCTGAGTTCCTGTTACAGGTGCAGGAGATTTGTCAGCAGATGGTGTTGGTTTATTTTGCACACCTGTGTAAGACTTCCTAATAACCATGGGAGATAAGGGAGGAGGTAAATTAGGATTCGTTTTATTTTCGTTGTATGCTAGCCATACACCTGCGGGGGGCAGCAAAGCTTTTCCTGTCAATTTGATAGCAATGGATTTTGCAGCAGCTATAGACTTGGAAAAAGGATCTAGCTCAGCATCCTTGTTTTCTGCCATTTCAGAAGGCATACTCTCTTCCTCTTCCTTTAAGAATTGTGCCGCCATCCTCTCAGCCTCTTTCTCCAGTGCTGTCTTCTGTGGCTTTTTCAGACCAAACTTTCCAAAGCCAGGCCGACCAGTAGCTTCCTCGTTCTTCTTGCGAAGTTTAGCAAGCAAGGCGGGACTTGGGCCACATAATATTTTAGGAGGCTCGCTGGGTTTCTCCGATTCTGATTTGCCATCTTTAGCACTAAGCTTTCCTGTGCTCTCCTTGTCATCTTTGGAATAACCAGCCTTGCCCTTCTGGTGCTGAGCTTTATCTTCCTTTTTTTCATACTTTCCGTTACTGTCTTGGTCCTCGTCCCACTTTGATTTCGGCCACTTCCCCCAGTCCTCATCTTTGTATTTTGACTTCTTCTCTTCGACCTCCCGAGTGTATTTGTACTTCTTATCATCTTCTCTGCCATACTTGGGCTTCTCCTCTTCTCTACCATATCGGCCTCTGTCATCATCCTTTCCAAGTCTATATCTGTCGCCCTCTTCTCTATATCGATTGTGTTCATCATCATCATCATCTCTGTTTCTAAATCTGTCCTCTTCATACCTGGATCTCTCCCCTTCCTCCTTCCTGTACCTATATGTGTATTCCTCTTCTTTTCTGAAGCGGTTTCGCTCATCATCATCTTTTTTGTACCTAGCTCTCTCATCCTCTTCCTTTTTTATTTTGGCTCTTTCATCATCCTCCTCCCTGTATTTCTGTTTATCTATATCCTCTTTCTTGTATTTCTCCTTGAGTTTATTCTCGCTCTCTTTGATATTCTTATACTCCTTTTCCTTGCTGTACTGTGGTTTTGGCTCCACTTCATTGTTTGACATTTTTCCTTTGCTGTGTTTGGATTTCTTCATATCATCCTGTTCGTCGTCTTCACGTTTTCGTTTGTGCTCTGAACTCTTTTGGCTCTCTAAGCCAGCCTGACGGTCCAGGTTCCTCCTTTGTTCATAGAGGGGATTTTCATACATTTTTGCCTGTAGAAATCAATGCATATGAGACAATTACATCTGGTCAAAAACATTTATAATTTGCAGTCATATCCTAACCTTAATTAAATTTATAATGAATATCCTATGTGATATTTACCTTGTATTTTTCATTGTGAGCATGGCAGGTGACATGGGTCTCAGCACAAATGGGATCACCAAAAAACTCTTCACATAATTGGCAGAAGAATCCCCTTACAGGGATTAAGAACTCAGAGCCTAAAGGAAAGAATACAGCACAAAATTAAATACATTTACCAGTAGTGTGTAATGGTTTTGATGGCTGGTAATTTACCCCTGATCTGCTCCAAAAAGGAGGCACACTGCAAGAAAACCACAGTTTAGGACACTGCAATTAACATGGCACCAATTAGGGAAGAGAATCATAAAGAAACTGAATGATTCTGATTCTTTGACCCTCAGATTCCATTTAATGATTGCAAATCCTTAACGGTGGATGTGTTAAAACAAATGAATTGCTTTAGCTTAAACAAAATGAATGTGTTTAGCAATCACATTTCATATTATATTTTCATATTTCATATTCTGATTAGCAATCACATTTCATAAAGATGTTGTTACCTTTGGCTGGCTTTGAAGTCCTCTTTCCAGCAGGGGGTTTCTTTTCACTCTCTGATTTTGCCCAAGGTCTGTCATAAGGATCTAGAGTCTATACGAGAGCAAAACAATTGATGATTGAAGCAGAGGTGTGACTGGCAGAAATAAACGCAGCATTCATAAACAAAACAAAAAAAATCTGATTTCATATATTAGCACACATACCTTCCTATGGGTTTTGCTGTGTAAATGCATGAAATAATCGAACATTGAACCACTGGTAACATTGCAGTTTTTACACCAGTGGTTTCCTGCGTCGTAGTACTCGAACTGCTCAGCAGCAGTGTCCAGGGAATGGCTGCTCGACGGAAGTGGCGACTTGGGTTTTTCAGGAGACGCTCTTGATTTTGAGGAGGCTACCTAGATTAATTTAGGCAGTACAAAAAATGCATAAGTAAAAGTGACTAAGCAAGCTGAATCAAATACTCTAGAGGTATCTATTTTTAAATGAATGAAGAAAAGCTTTTAAAAGAAACAAATATAACAATCCTATTGCCAATCATGAAAGTTTGTCATAGGAGACTTACCTTTGCAAAATAGGCCATCTGTTTTCCAGTCGGGGAGAAGTTACCCGTGGGTTTAATACTTGAATTATTTGACTACTATAAAACTAATGGTTTTAAAAAGCCATTTCAAAATGAGATCTGAAATGGCTTTTATATCATATAACGTACATAAAATTAATCAATAAAATCATCAAGCACCAAAACAATAAAATCTCATTCATAAGACATTTCAAGATATCAAAACACTTTTGCAGTGAATATCTTTCGATTTTTTTTTAAACTAAAAACAAATAAATTAATATATATATATATATATATATATATATATATATATACACACACATACACACACACACCCCTTAAATTCAATGCTACACAATGCTATGCTATTACGCTAGAATGCTATTATCATTATACAAGCCTACACTATAGAAAAAAAGAATGTGTTCATACATTACAGAAGTTGTTAATGTCCTGTATAAGAATTACAAACTTCCAGTTTAGTAAATCATAGCCACAATTTACTACAACATGGAAACAAATTAGTAAATTGTGGCCACGACTTAAATAAAACAAGAGAACAAATTAGTAAATCGGGACAACCAATAAATATACTGTGGGAACAAATTCTTAATTTGTGGCCCCAATATATATTTTTTCCTACTATAAGTCACTTTGAACTAAAACAGTGGTTTTCAAATGGTGGTACGCTGTGATACCACCAAGAGTACACAAAGCGTCTCAGGTGGCTTACAACTCTAGAAATGTACTATACTAAAAATGCTGCCTTCTGGTCTGTGTGGATTTTATTCTGTGCTGAAAGAGCCACAAAAGCTGATTTAATCAAGAAAAAAGCAGCATGTTATTCTGTTTAATCTCAAAGGAAGCATTTAAGTGCCAGAACCAAAGGCAAGCATATTCTAATCCTCTCTAAAAGTTACTACTGCAGTGTATGCGTTTTTAGATGTTACTCCTCAGGGTCCTTCCACAGATCTGCAAAGGCATGCAGCATGATTAAACTGAACTACAGGAATATTGATCGTAATAATCAAAATATGGCATTATGTTGCTCACAGTTACTTGGATGCCCTGATTTGATCAAAGGTGGTTTTAATTTCAGAACCACTGGACTAAAAAGCATCTGTAAAAATAGTAACCAATAATGTTTCAAGAGTACCAAATACATTTTGGCAATGACCCTCTATGTTAAATAAAATAGTCGACTGAATAGGCTACTGATATGACTGGAGTCTTCATCTCATGTGAGTGAAGATTGTTTTAATTACATATTTTTGAGTATTTTTAATTTCATTAGGGGTCATTTTTTACTAAGAAAAAAAAACTGAATGCAGCTATTTTAAAATTATTACTGAAAGTTATTTAAATAAATATTTTGTGGAATCACTGTCAAGATTTAAATGGGAACAGTCTAATTCTTAACTATGAAAAAGCCAATCAAGCGAAAGTACCTTTCCTGTAACAGAATTAGCAACTCTACCTTATTGTATGAGGTGCTGGTTTTGGACCCTGATTTCCCTGGGCTTCTGGCTGACTCCTTCTTACTCCGAAGGGGCTGCAGCACATGGTCCCCAGAGATCTTCGAGTCTTTGTAGTCTATACCGAGAATAAGAGCCACTTTGACCAGCTCTTCATATTTTTGATCTGCCTTTCTCTGTTCAGCACGCAATTTAGAGATTTGGGCCATTGCATCTTCTTGGAGCTGACCGAGCTCGATGAGGACAGGGTCCTTGTGCCCATCCTTCTCCCTTCGCTTCTTTCGAAGAAGCTCCCCTAAAGGAACAAATCAATCACTGTATAATACAGTGAGCCCTTACATATTTATAAAGAAAACACTTCCATTTTACACTAAGAGGGAAATACCTTGCTGCTTTCTCAATGTCTCCACATCCTTTAAGAGATTTTCTTTCCTCTTGTTTTGCACTTCTTTCTCCTTTTTTAGATTTTCAAGCTCTTCCATGACCTGAGACAGAATTTTATTTGGGCCTTAAATATCTTCATCAGCAAAAACAAAGGAATGGGAATCCTGATGAATTTAACAATTGTGCTTCTGATTCCACTTCTTTATTTCCCCCCAAAATGTACAAAAGAAAATTGTAAAGATTGTAGATGTTCAAGATGTTTGTTAATGAATCCGAATGGAGAAAAAAATGCAACAAGAACCAGTTTTTGATTCTCAACTCTACAAATAAAACTTTTGTTTTGTAGATGAAACAACAATTTTGAGATGTTTGCACATTCAATAATCCCATCAAATCTCTTGCAGTTACCTTTTGTTTTTGGCTAGCAGTATTCTTATCTTCCATTTCTTTCCTCTGAATGCCACTGGTGATCGTTTTAGAGGCCACAGGATCTGATTTAGGGGGTGCTGAAAGGATAAATCAAATCATGTTGGTAAACTGTGATGAGCGAAGTCTAAATCACCCAAAAATCTCTTAGTATTTACTCACACTCTTGTCATTCTGAAACCATGATTACATTCTTCCATGGAACACAAAAGGATTTTAAACAATCTTTGCATAGCTTTTTTTCCATTATTCATTGTGACCATGTCTGTGAAGCTCAAGGAAGCCACATTATTTATAATTTACTCTGCTTGTTTGCGAACCTGCGCTAATTTGCGCTGCTCTTGGTAGATTGCGTTTGCTTATTACGGAAATTATCTGTTTGCATCTGTGTTCTTTAATTTGTGCGATGTCAGCATATCACCCGCAGAACTTTCCACTCCTATCGGTGCTTTTCTGGAATTGCATTCCTTGTTTGGTAAATCTGGCTCTTAGTATAGAGCAAGTTATACAGACTGCTTTGTGGTGCGTTTACAATCTTTTGTGGTCATTCAAGGAGCTTTACAGACATGGTCACAATGAACTCTCATTATACAGAACAGACCTGTGTGAACATTGTTCCAAAATTCTCCTTTGATCAACTGCACCAACATAAGGTCAAATACATAATGCCAAAATGTAAATTTTCTGTAAGCTATTCCTCTTTATGAATAATATATTTTAAAGGTCACTAACCTTTTTGATCATCGCCTTTACTCTCATTCGGCACAGTTTTGATGATTTTAAGAAAGGGTCGCTCAATGTTAGGGTGGCTGTAGGGATCCATTGGACTGGGAGGAGGTACCGGCATACCTGGAGGTGGGTACATCGGCCATCCCGGAGGCATATATGGAACGTAATTGCCATACGGATCATAACCTCGTGGTGGGTAGTCAGGTGGCATTACCCCACGTGGGGGTGGCCCGGGGTATGGGGGCATGGGATGTGTCGGGAGGCTGGGTTGGGAGGGATACGTCTGAGACCCAGGACCCACAGTGGGTGTCGTAGGCCAGCTGCTTTCTGGTTGAGCAATGCCAGGTTGAGCCTCTTTCTTGTTCTGACTATGTGAGCATGGAGATGTTTTTTCTGGGGAAACTGGCTTTTTCTTGCTGCGACTTGAAGTGTGATCTAAACTGCCACTTCGGCTTCGACGACTTCTGCTTCTACTGCTACTCCGACTGGAGCTCCTGCTGCTACTGCTGCTGTAACTCCTGCTACGGCGCTTTCTATCCGAATGCCGACGAGTTGGTGTCTTTGCAGGGGTGTTACCGTGCAGACGCGCTTGCGTCCTAGCGGCCATCTTGCTTATCTCAGCCACACCCAGGTCCAAGCCAATTGTTTTCAGCAAGTCTTGTATCTTCTCATATTCCTCTACCTCCTTCCTCACCTTGATGTCCTGTGGCCCAACGCCAGGTGGGAAGTCATTAGGTTCTTCCTTGGCATGTACCTCAGGTGTGGCCGAGGGATTATGCCTGTCTGTCTGGCTACTTTCTCTATGCGAATGGATCATCACATTTTCTCCAGTATTGCCAAATGTGTAAGGTTCTCTTATCTGCATATCACAAGACTGTGGGTAACTTGTGCCTGGAAAGTTGGAATTTGTTGGTGTCACCTCATTGCCCTCTTCTTCTTCGTCCCCATAGAGGAACTTCTCTTCATCTTCAATATCTGGATGACTCTTTTTTAAATTCTGTGGTTGGGCAACCTTGGCTATCATTCCAAGGAACTGTGTGAGGTCTGATTTCTCCTGTCTTCCCTTCTCGTGAGGGAGGAGCAGGTCACTTCCACCCTCTCTGGCTGGTTGGATCTTACCAATTAGCTCTTCGAGAACACCACTATCAGAGCTTTTACCCAGCATGGATGCTAACAAGTCTGGATCCATGGTTTTGGAAAGTGCACAGAGAAGCTGTTCAGCCTCATGTGAAATACCACCATCTGGATTTCCTCGAGGAGAATCACTATTCTGAAATACATTGGTTAAATATGATTTAGGGACACTAGAATCATTCTTTACTTTCTAAAAAATAAAGCCAATTAAATATCAGCTAAAGCAGTGGTGACACTAGACTTTGAAGAGGCAAAATAAGCATGTTGCATGGGTATGAATGAAAGTCAATGGAATGAAAATTGTAGTGTGGCTGCCCCTTAGCTCTGTAGGCCAACCAAAGACTAGGGATGCACCGAATGTTCGGGAACCGACATAATTCGGCCGAAAAAATTGTACCGAACAATGACGTGACGTGATCAAATAGAGGCGCGCAATAATGCAGCAAACACGTCGGCAGTGTGGAAGCATTTATAACTCTCCGAGAATGACGCAAAAATCATTATAAGCACCGATAGAGAGAGACTGTTTAGTACTGCATCACATGTCTCCAACGAGGAGAGGAAGGGGTGGTTGTTGCTGGTTACTGTATGATGATTGAAATCGCGAAATGGCCTCAAACGATTAGTAAATAAACTGCAGAACGTTATGTTTTCTAACACATGCACGAATTGCATGCATCAAACAGTGCTGCACGAGCTCGCGGCGCTAGCTGCTTGTTAGCCAAGGACAGGGTTCAAAGTCCAAAGCGCAAGGAAAATCTGCGCTGAAACTGTTACTAGTGAGCTGCTCAGTAACATTTTTAAAATAAAATAAGAAAAGACAATAATAATTACAACAGCCCTATTAATACATTAATGCTCACACAGTGTTCAAATTGTAATATTTTCTAATGTTTTAAAATAATTATCTTCTACTCAGCAAGGCTGCATTTATTTGTACAGTAAAAAATACATAACTGAATCAAGAAGGGGGGTCTCAAAAATGATTTTACTAACTTACTAATTTTAAGTTAAATTGTGCTCTGTTGGTATAATGTCTGCTAGAATGTTTAAAACATGTTCAGTGTTGTCACGCCTCTGGACTGTTTGTGTTTGTTTTTCTCCCCATGACCCAGTTTCTCCCTTGTTGGATTGTTCATTTGGTTCAGGTGTGTCGTGTTAATTGGCCTCGTTTCCCCATGTATTTAAGCCCTAGTCTGTGCAGTCTATGGCTGCGTTTACACTCGGCATTAACATGTGACCTGTATCCGGATGTTGTCCACATACACACTGAAAAGACAAATGTAAACGCGCTTCTGATCGGAATGTTATCCGATCAGCGTGTCCTGGTCCAGAGGTAGTCGAACACATCTGAATATTTGGGTTGAACTGTTCTGGAACCGTGTTGTAAATACAACTTAACTACTGATTTCTAGTTGTGTCCCCTTTTGGAAGGCTAAACAAAGTAGTTTCGCTTTCACAACGAAACACAGCGTCACACACGGTGGGCTAGAGTGAGCGGCGGTGTCTCTTTGGGTTTGAGACTTTAGTCTTTGCAACTTTAGGGATCTTATCTATTCACGAACAGCTTGTAACACTCCAAAGAGAAAGGAAAAATTTAAATTGCATCATATGACCCCTTTAAGTAAATATTTTTAAATAGTTGTTTTGTAACTGATTTTTTCTTTGTAAAAGCTAGACAAAACAGTAAAAAGCACATTTTGGCTATTTAATTTTAGTGGTGGGCAGAGCGAGGCTTTGTGAAACACAAACAGTCGAAGCAAAGGTGCCGAGGCTTCGAAACAATTCGACTCCCGCCTCTACGGTAACACCTAGTGGTCATTTTCAAGTAATGCTCTGAAACAGCCTTGACAACGAATCAGCTAAGCGAATTGACGAATAATAACGTATATGCTGTGTTCATTAACCAACTAAGTGAGTTGGGGGAGTGGTTAGTGTGCTCGACTGGCATGTTGTCAGAGCTTGTCAGCTTAGGTTCGAATCCTGGGTGAAGCACGTATATAATTATAATAAACATGTAAAAGTTGTGTTTTTATTCTTTTCTTGTAATGTGTTGTAACAACTCTCTGACAACTGAATGAACTCTTTGTGAATATGTTATTCGCGCTTCGGGATCTCAACACCATGTCGAAACGTCAGTTTCGCGTCAGCCATCCCTATTTAATTTAACCCTCTAAGCGCCAAAGTCGCAAAATTGCGACAAGACATCATACTTAAAAAAAAATAGACTGTAGTTCCTAATATGGTGTAATATCTCATTTGTATTCCCTACCACTAGATGGCAGACATGTAGTACTTCGATTCTAGACCAAAATTACGTCACGTTCCTATTTAAAGTGTTCGAGGAAATAGCAGAGCAAGTGAGCTATCGTGTCATTGATGCGGAAGCAGTTCAGTTCATAGCGTGCGAGTAAATTGTGAGAGAAAATCACCAAATGGCTAATAAAAAGTCGTACCGTGAGGATGTGTTGCAAATGTTATTCGCCGATTCTGACTCTGAAGGGGAATATTTGTTGTCACCTAGATACCTGATTGCGCAGATAGCTGGTCAACTGATCAAAAAATAGGCACATGCATTTTACTTTGGCACAGTAATATAGAAATAATTTACTACTTTCTCCTGTTTTACTGTTGATTTCCTCTTTTCCTGATCATTTGGAATGAGGATAAAAAGACAAAAAACATGCAAATAAGTTCAAACATCCATTCAATATCTATTATTTCCTGAATATTACTGATGAACTGATCAAAAAGTAGGCTACTGTTCACATGTGTTTTACTACTATATAGTATAGTAATATAGTAATAATTTAGTACTTTCTCCTGTTTTATTGTTGGTTTCCTCTTTTCTGATCATTTGGAATGAGGATAAAAAGACAAAAAAAAAACATGCAAATAAGTTAAAACATCCATTCAATATCTATTACTTCCTGAATATTATGAAATTCAAGATGGCCGCCCCCTGATGACGTCATAATATGCAAGTTATACAAGTATATTTACACCCCACATAAACTTTCGGTCATGCCCAACATTTTTCTAATTTACAGTAGATCTCTATCTTTAAGCCCTTTCAAGCCACAAGCTTTTGAAATCTTGATGTCAAAATCCAGCATTTTTCCAAAAATCCCTGGTGCCTAAAGGGTTAAGCAATGGTGAAAAAATTGGCAAAATATATGGGGGGGGGAGACCGTGTTCGGTATTCGGCCAAGAATTTTCATTTCGGTGCATCCCTACTAAAGACCAAGACCATACTCTACACAAGTATGTAAAATCTCATATTTGTGCACTGTTACGTTCCGAAAAGAGTCGGAGCACAATCAAAATGCAGAGCACAGTTGCTATGCTGTACATTAGCATAAATTGTTTAATCCTTCAGGTCAACAACAGACATTTGAATGTAACTATTGCCACCTTGACTGTCAAAAAAAGATGTACCACAATATATCAGCACAATAATGGTTATCAGACGACATTAAATTGTGCATACTCATTTTTTATTTTAACATTTAGATTACATTTGTCGTCATCTAATGCTTATATGAAATGCTTATTTAAAAAAAAAAAAAAAAAAAAAAAGCACTGATCATTTAAATCTTCCGTAAATCTCCAATGAGTTTTCACTTTTCATAGTACTTTACGTTATAATGCTGTGATGCCTAAATTCGCTTGTAGCCAGTTTTGGGGGTAATGCATTACAAGTAACGCGAGTTATGTAATCAGATTACTTTTTCAAGTAACTAGTAAAGTAATGCATTACTTTTAAATTTACAAGAAAATATCAAGTGTTATTAACTTATCAAGTTAAAAATAAGTGACGCAAGTTACTTTGTTTTCACATTTATTTACTGACACCTCCCCTAACCCTGTGTTGAGAGAAACAGGGAGAAAGGTGCAGAGGCACATCCGTCAATCTGAGGCTAATTAATTTCATTTTTGTTGTGAAAGAGACCTTTACAGTTGCCAAAAATATAACTTTTGTGATTTCTGTTATTAAAAATAAATAAGCAAGCCAAGCTCAGGTGACAAAAAGTAACGCAAAAGTAACGTAATGCATTAGTTTCCACAAAAAGTAACTAACACAATTAGTGTTACCATTAGTACCATTAGCAATTAGTACCATTTAATAATGGTAATTTTAGATTACCTTTCAGATGTATTTAATTATAAAACCCTTTATAATCTATAATAACTTATTTCATAGTTTCTCTAAACCTTCCTGGATATTAAGACAATTCTGGCCAAATTAAAGATACGTTGTGTGTGTGAATTTGCACATGTTATAATGTAAGCATCATTAATGACCCTTTGTGTTTAATTTAAAAAAAAGAAAAGAAAAGAAAAGAAAAGAAAAAAAGGATTGATTAGTGAAATGAAAGAATGATTAAAAAAAAAATCTGAATGATTAGTAATTGTCTCTAATTGGCCTGTTTAGCTAAGCCCTCAAAACACTTCTTATTTAGTGGTACAGTATTGCATGATTTGTAGATTATATTTAATAGTTTACACTTTGCATAAACGTTTGCAATTCGTTTTTAAAAGGTAACATTACATTCTCTACGCCACTTACATTTCTTTTCAAGAGCACTTGTGCTCCTACTCAAAAATAATAATAATTAGGAACACCTTCTGATGAATGACAGAAATTAACCTTCCTATTATAAGGCGATATTTGACTCCTTAAAAGTTTTTTTTTTTTTACCTTTGTAATGCCTCTAACTTTATTAAATGTACGCCATCTTTTGTGCCAAAAATGTTTTGAATTATAAACTTATCAAAAATTAATTAAACAATAAATTCAATTAAAATAATCAGATTCTGAATCATTCATTCAATCGATTCGTTCAAATGGCTGATTCATTTAAGAACAAAGCAAGTGACTCCCTCTATGACTCACTAGATTTGTTCAAAAACACAGATTCATTTATAAACGAAACAGCGCTGTGTTTGCTTGGAGATGCGCAGCGGCTCAGCTGTGATTTGTTTGGAATTATTTTAGTTGAGGAAATAGAGCATAATCAGACAACAGTGTTCCTAAAATGTAAGTCACTTAAAATTAACTTGTGTATAAAATCAAAAATGTTGTATAGAATCTATTTCACATTTGCAAACTCCCTTTATAATCATTAAAATTCCGTCACTTGTCTTAGTTCATCACAATCTCACAAACTTCCTTTTTAATTAATGAAGCTCTCTACACTGCACACTGAATCTATTATTTACATCGTCTCTACACTTTGTTATAATGAATGACAAAAACTGCAGTCAGCTTTCACAGTCTGTGCTGTGAGGAGCAGCACGCGCACCGACAGAGAAGCATTTCCATTGGCTGCAGTCTGCAGGTATTATGGCCAATCACAAAAGACGACAGTATCCACCCAGTGTTTTTTTTAAATCCCTATAAATCATAACCCCTTTCTCAAATCAAGCCGTTCACAGATTCTTGGCAGAATGACGTAGTTCTGCACAGGCCCCTCCCATGATTGTTGATTGATATTGGCGTTAGTCTTTGGTTTTAGCACAGACCCGTCCAGAGTGAGCGGTCACCATTGTCTCGACGCCGGAGCAAGTGTAGACTAGAATGTCTCCTAAGCGATTGAGGTGTTTTGTTGTTGGATGTAATAATGAACATAGCAGTCGTCATTTACTCCCGACATCTGAGCCGCTGAAGACGCAGTGGATTACTTTTGTTTCTGAAGGGAATGCGCCCCCCGATCTACCTAAATGCATCGGTGTTTGCGCGAATCATTCGTGATCCAGCTTTACCTACAGAAGAAGTGAGAATAAGTTTTTTTAATGAATCTTTGCAAATTGCCTTTCCTAATAATGTGCTAGTTAGCAATGACGAATGCCGCTAAAGTTAACAGTTTAGAGAACGGCTCATCACCCCACGGAAGAGAGGGGCGGGTCGTCAGTGAACAACGGGTCTGTGTAGTTAATGCTGCTCAATGTGAAAGCACGCACGTGATGGAGATTTACCGCTGATTACAGAACCGGCTTTCTGACAAGATGCGCATTAAATATCGCATGCGATTTATCGTGCAGCCCTATTAAAAAACAATGTTTTACACCCTCAAATCTTGGCCATTTCTATCCACTGAATCCCGATGGTGACCCCAATACCTAGACAGTAGGGCGCTGATAGCCAACATAAATCTGATAAATAGGAGGCGAAATGTAATTGCCAATGATAATTCATTACAATATTATTTACAAAATATTTTGCGACAGAAAAAAATAAGACTTTTATTAATCAACAGAGTGGTCACACTTACCACCATCAGCCTCATTCTCACAATGGCCTTATAAAAGATGGAATACACAAATTTCACCCAGATTATTATTATTTTTTTACGCGGGCCTGACTTGCAGTCTGCAGATTTTGGCCAGTCAGAGTCGACAGATTTCACAAAAAACCACATGATGGACATAAACTTTTTTTTTACCATAAGACAATGATTCCATCCATTTGGAGGATAACAAACATGATATTTTAAAACTATTTCAGAACATATTGTTTTCATTTATCATGCATCTCCAAGGAACAAGACGCATGTAACTGTATGTTTGGTGTGTTCAGAATGAGCTGAAAATCTGGTAGTTATCCCCAGTAGGGCTGCACGATGGTGAGCAGAGCTCATTAGCATTTAAAGGGACATGCACCGAAACGTTGTGTGTGTGAATTTACCCTGTTTTTGACAGGGTAAAAAGTGTGTTGTTTTACACGACCATTGAGAAATTTTAACCAAAGTATGTTATAGATTTTTCATAAAGACCCTAAATAATCATATCAACTTGTGGAAAACGGGCATCCGATGACCCCTTTAAGTGTCTTAAGTTGAGAGTGCCATACATAAAGTGAAGAATAAATATTAACAGCTTTTGACTAGCATTTTGAATGTAAAAATTTCCCAAGTCATAATGAGAGATGGTTACCTGCGCTAGCATGGGAGAATCTGTCTCGGAGGAATCCATTCTTTTCTTCAAAATTGACTTTGCAGGCTGTACAAGCATATCCTGGATTTCTTTACGTCGTCTGGCCTTCTCCAGCTCAGTAAAGTCCTCCTCCCGAACCATAAAATCACCTGATTTGACTCTCCTGTTGACGCAGCTGCGGCGACTCCTATTGGAGCCGCTGCTGCTACTGCTACCACTACGACTGGCGCTGTGGCTCCAGCTCCTAGCACGACTCCGTCCTCTGCTTCTCCCCCTGCTACGGCTCCTTTCACGACTGCGGCTCCGTGGCCGGCTCTTGCTCCGTGCCCTGCTCCTGGCCCTACTCTGTCTGCGACTGCGGCTTCCGCTTCTACTGTAGCTCCTCCCACGGGTTCTGCTCTTGCTACGTGCTCGGCTCTTCGCCCGTTCAGGACTCCTACCACGACTGTAGCTCCGACTCCTGCTGCGACTGCGCGGGCGACTTTTGCTGCGCCCATAGCCAGGACTGCGACTCTGCGCCCTGCTCCTGCCGCGACTAACACTGCGCCTCCTCGAACCTCTATCGCTGTGTCCATCATAGCTCGACTTCCGTGGAGAGTAATAGGGCTTATTATGCTGTGACTCCCCAGCAGCATAATCTCTGTCAACAGAAATCATCACATCATAAACCGCAACTGAAGGACAAGGACAAACAATTGCATATCTAGTGAGTCTATGGGCTCAAGTTAAAATCTCTCCATAATTACACTTGATAGCTTCAAGTGCTGTAGTAAAAAAAAAAAAAAAACACTTATCCCTAAGGGTGTCTTACGCTCTATCAGAGAATGCTGCCAATCTACTGGTTTTGAATAGGATGAAGAGGAAAAATGCAAGTTTGAGCAAGAACTACTCTTAAGAATATGTTCACTGTTTGGAGGCAGGCATCAAAAGATAGGCAGGTCTAGTTGTTTCTCAAATAAGTTTAAGATTAAACTTTTATATGTTATTAAATGTGGTATTTTCACATGCTTTCAGATGGAGCAGCATTTACTTCACAGAGCCGTAGTTCACTGAGAAGCTATGCAAACAGCTGTCATTATCGCGAACAATTTCTTCGATTTCATAATCACGCAATAAAATCGTCTGCGATTTTTTTTGCGTAACTTGTCAGTGAACTACGGCTATGTGTAGTAAATGCTGCTCCATCTGAAAGCACGTCGTGATGGTTTCCTGCTGATTACAGAACCGGCTTTTTTAACAAAATGCACATGACAATCGCATTTGATTAATCGTGCAACCCTAATCCCCAGTCATTTAGTGTTTTGATGTACAGTTTTACGCAACCATTTCAGCACTGGCACTGTAATTCTGTTCATGTTTTACAATGTCACAGTGTATTCCAATCTTAAAAGTCAATATATTCTTATTACACTAGACTGCATCTCTTACCGGACATAGGGCGCTTCGCTTGGATGGGTCAGCTCGTTGCCCACAGTTATGACCAGACTGTGATCAACAGGGAGCCCACCACGAGGAGGAGATGGGCTGTACCTCTGTTAAGGAAAATGGGTACATAACTAACTCATACATGGAATAATACAAACTATAAAAAGTACACTACCAGTCAAAAGTTTTTGGACAGTTACATTTTTAATGTTTTTTATATAATTCTCTTTTGCTCACCAAGCCTGCATTTTTTGATCCAAAATACAGTGAAATAAGTAATATTGTGAAACATTTTTACCATTTAAAATAACTGCTTTCTATTTGAATATTCAAATATAATTTATTCCTGTAATGACAATGCTAAATATTAAGCATAATTACTCCAGTCTTCAGTGTCACATAATCCTTCAGAAATCATTGTAATATGCTGTTCAAGAATTTTATTTATTTATTATTATCATCAATATTTAAAACAGTTGAGTTATTTCTTTTTCAGGATTTTTTTTAATCAGCATTTATCTGAAATAAAAAGCTTTTGTAACATTATACACTATACCATTCAAACGCTTGGAGTCAGTATATTTAAATCGTTATATATGTATTATTAAATTATGAAATTACAGAAATTAATACTTTTATTTATCAAGAATGCATTTAAATTGATCAAAAGTTATGACAAAGACATTTATACATGTTACAAAAATTGCTATATTTGAGATAAAAGCTGTTCTTCTGAACTTTCTATTCATCAAAGAAACCTAAAAGAATTATAGGCCTACTTGGCTGTTTTCAACAATGATAATACATGTTTTTTTGAGCAGCAAATCATAATAACGTTATATGAATGATTTCTGAAAGATCATGTGACTGGAGTAATGATGCTAAATTTCAGCTTTGAAATCACAGGAATAAATTAAATTTTAAAATATATTCAAATAGAAAGCAGTTATTTTAAATGGTAAACATATTTCAAAATATTACTGCTTTTGCTGTATTATGGATTTTAAAAAATGCAGGCTTGGTGAGCAGAAGATAATTCTTATTAAACATTAAAAATATTGCTGTTCAAAAACTTTTAACTGGTAGTGTAGCACCAAGGCATTTTTATTAGAGTACATAGCGCTGCAACAAGTAGGTAATGGAATGAGAAGATAATGCAAAGTACTTTAATACCATTTTCACATGGTGTGGTTTTTACGTGGTAATCCATAGAATAACACGGTATTACCGTAATATAAGTCCGAAAAATACACAGTAGGACCACTTGCACTTTTAATTAGTGTGTACCATGCTGGATTATTGCAGCGCTGCCTGCATGTAGCCGTGTAATGCAGTGTTTTTGTTTGCTTCATACCCCATAGCCTCGCGGAGCTCTCCCTCCTCGGTATTCATCGGCTGGTGAGTATCTCCTCCGCGGGGACGGCCGGCGGTAAGGATCCGGGGAACGGCCTGGTCCAGGACGGGAACCGAAGCCACGCGACGGCGGGGGATGATAGCCGCCTCTGTGCGGCCTAGAACCGCGGTACATAACGACGCGTAGCCGCTGTTCGGTGTCGAGTCGTTATTATCCTGGGTGCAGGATGGCGATTATCCCTGCAACAGGTAAATGCGAATTCCAAAAATTCAATACGAATGAGAGCGTATTCATTACACACAAACAGCTCTGTCGGTGCTCGCTTCCTGTGCCGCCGCATTCACCGGATATGACGTCACGCCAAGCACAGCCAATCGAACGCAGCGAAACAGCATCGTTTTGTTTACCGAGTCTCCTAAATACAGTAAGAACTCAAAAGCACTATTTCTATGCTAAACAGTGAATATAACTGTAAGATTAGGAATTGGAAATGCAGTCATTTTTTTGTCAGTTACGCTAACTGGAACATTACAGATATGTGTGGAAGATCCCGACTGTCCTGCAAAAAAAAGTATAGACCGGAAATCCACTGAACACATCCTGGGGCCTGTTTCATAAAACAAGTTTACCAAATAAACCAGGCTTATTTCAGTTAATCTGACTTATCTTGAACCAAATGAACTGACAACATGTCAGCCTAACTGAAATAAACCTGGCTTATTTGGTAAACTTGTTTAATGAAACAGGCCCCAGCTCCTTTACCCAATGTACCAGGGTGCATCAAAGGTGCCCTGGAAAGTAGTTTCATGTGGACTCAACCCTATAGGGTCACTGGGTGGCACATTGTTTAATGTTCGAAAGCAGGAAGAAAAAAAATCATTTATCAGATTTGTCTCCTCTCATTGACCTTCCGATGTAGTTAAAGACTACTAACTATAAAGCAAAAACATGCTTTTAAATATGGCACCTCCAATTCTGATATTATTCAGAATGGGAGAAAAAGAAATCTTTTTCAACAGTTTAGGTTCATGTATAACTGTTCAAAGGTTTGTGGTCAGCAAGATTTTGATTTAGGCCTTTTTATTTATTTGTTGAATAAAAATGATATTTTTAAGCATGGATTCATCAAAGTGACAAGACTTGTATCATGTTAAAACGCTTTATATTTCAAATAAAGTTCTTTTGAACTTTCGATTAATCAAAGATTCCTGAAAAAATTTAAACGTTTTCCACAAAAATATTAAGCAACACAACTGTTTTCAAAAGTGATAATAATAAGTGTTTCTTGAGCAGCCTATCGGCATATTAGAATGATGTTTAGATTTGATTTTTTATTAATTTATTGGAAAATGACTTTTGATATAATTATTATCGATATATATATTTTAAAAAAATGTCATTAATGTAAAATGCTAAATCAAATATTCTATTTAAAATAGTTTTGACAATTAAGATGAATAATTGAATAACCAATGACGAAGTAAAAGTAATGAATCCCAGTAAAAGTAAGGAATGGTACAATTATTGTATGACTTATAAACAAGGATATGAATTTAATTGCCCATATGTCATAATATAGAATGCAACTTGAATGATTTCAATTAATTAGCCTATAGGTTTTAATGAAAAGTGAAGATGTCTGAAATACATGCAAGTCATGAAAATACTGAATATAATAACCCCTAATAAGTATTACATTTAAGTAACAACATGCCAGTTGGGTCCTTATGTGTGGATTCTGGGTTGGGGCATCTAATTTTATCCTTTTACATTAAAATAAAATTTTAAAAGCACTATTGTATATGAGATCCCTCATTAACAAAAAAAACTTTAAAATCCAACATAATGGAATCTGTAGTTTTTTTTTCTCTTTTTCTCAGAGAAACTAAATTATATAAATTAACCACAAAACTGTTTCGACTGACATTCAGATGAAATGCCAAAATTAAAAACAGAGTAGCTATTCATCAAAAGTTTTGAGATCAGATTTAAAAACACTGAATAAGTCTAAAAAGCAGGTACAAGGTACATAACATTTAGGGATGCTTTTATTTGACATTTTCATACAACTCTTTACATTTTCCAATATAAGCAAATGCTTCTTCTCAAAATAGGAAGAAAGACAATAGATTTGCTATCACGCTAAAACACAGATATAATTCCAATCACCAAGCAAAACTCTCAAAACATATCTGATGAATCCAGGTCTGGAGTAGAAACACTTCTCATCAGATCTGGCATTGCAGGGGTTACTCGCTGTTCCTTACCTCATCTGATCCTGAAATTCATTTGTATGAAAAGAAAACCATGCGATCTATAATGACTTGAATGAATGAGACCCTCTAGACATGTCCTGCATTTAAACTAGCCTACATCTGAGGCACACATGCAAAGTCTAGATTCTAGAAGGACGTGCGTTCTTCACACTGAACCAATTCACTTAATCAGACTTTATTTTAGGGCACGTTAGAGATTTTGGGTGAACATATCAGCAAATAATTGCCTTCATGCCCTGATGCTGTCATTTTCCCGTCTCTGCTTCAGTGTCAGTTGGAGGTTCCTGGTTCACTCTTATAAAGATATTGTTTAAACTCATTTTGACCAATTAATTTCCATGACTTTTGACGCACTCCATAGAAATGTGATTGTGTTACTTTCTATGATGTTTCAAGGGCTGGAATAGCATAAATATATAAATGAATTAATTAGTAAATATAAATGTATACTCAAGTTTTCCATTATCATGGATATACTGTATACACTGTATAGTTTAACTCTTACGGATTTACAACAAAGGCTCAAAAATGTACCTGCAGTTTAAAATGTGATGTCTGGGTGCTATAAATGTCTCTAGTTTCCATTATTGTATGAAACATCTACAAATTCAAATGACATTTAGCAAGCAACAATAACCACTTACCTGGAGAATTTCCCAGTGAGTGTTCCCTCTTACTGATTCTTGACCATTGGCATTCTCCAGGCCTACATTAGCAACCACTAGACATCAAACTGATTACATTTGCGAGGAAGAAGCAGCAGAGACACAGAGGGACATACAAAGAAAGATTAACATGCATGTAGATCACATCAAAACTGAACGGTACCAGGGAAGTTGTTAGGAAAATATGGACTTCAACAACTACAAACTGAGATTTGACTGTCAGAACATCAAGAGAAAAGAAGCAGGCTGTGCAAACTCCTCACACAGCGTGATGGAAATTCTTTGATTGAGAGCCAACTGTTTTCTTTGAAAGTATAGTGAATGTGTGTGGTTTTTTTTAATGGGAGATGGAAATTCTTATGGTTCTTTTATTAGTTCACTCATTTACTGTTTTATGTTTTTAACCCTTGTGCTGTGCTGAAAATCCTTCTAATTTGGTGTTCCCAGTTAAAAATGACTGGCCTTTTAAAGATTGCTGGTAAAACTCTCATTATGCAATCATATAACCAAAACTTGGATTTAATCTTTTTGTGAACTTGTTTTAATTAGCACAGGTTTTGCATTTCTTTTTGGGACTAATGGGTTGTGAGTGGCTGATCTGAGAAAAGTTGACAAAAAAAATCGACTTTAATCCAATATTTGGTCAAATATGGCATGACAAGAAATGTATACGCTATTTGTCGTCGGCCAGACTTTTTTGACCAGGAACACCACAAGTGTAGCGAGGGGGGGGAGACACGGTGTGAGCAAAGTCAGTAAGTTTTAGTCCAATGCAATAACATTAGCTAATATTTTCTGTACATGTTCTAGCAAAAAAACGTACATCTAACAACAGTCACTATAGAAAATGGAATAATGTTACAGCCATTTCTTATGATTAGGCAGTCTAGACTTTTGGGAAGTGATTAACAGCAGGAAATGATTTGCCAAGATGAGTGTAGCCAATCACGTTTTAGAAAATCACGTAACCCATGCTATTTTTTATATATTCTGCAAAGTAGTGTGCATTTTTTTAGGAAGTCGCTTTGGTTCCATGACTAAGTGGACTCCAGGCAGCTTCTCCAATGAAGTATTCTTTCATAGGTATTTACACTCTTTATGGTGGAACGCAAATACCATTGCAGCTCAACAAGAATAATAGATTTTACACACAAATACAGTCATTGATACAGAAGAAATGCCCCGATTTCTTTTTCACTGCTCTAGAAAATTAGAAATCATTGGCACTATTGAGAGACTTACTAGCATACCCAGATTGGATCTGAAGACTTTTGGCCATTTCCTGTGCTGATTTGTGGATCCGATTTAATGACAGAAAAAAACCACTCAATGAAGCTGATGCTTTGTGATGTAAACACACTTAAAACATGCAAGTAGGGTGTGAAGAACATTCTTTGTATCATACACGAGATCTCAAATTATAAAGAAAAGTTTATTCCGTATTAAATTTGAATATTTTAAATGTTCTTGTTTTTATTTGTTATTAAACTGAATTTATAAAACAGAACAAGTAAAAACTAAAATCTAAAATTCTTGCAAAATACTTTTTGTGACAGAAAACAAATCTGCTTTCATTCTACATGGGTTGTATTACAATCGATTTTGAAGTAACAAAACAACAGCAACAAATGATACACAAGAAAGAAATGGCACTGTACAAGTTGCTAAACAAAACAAATGACCATTTCTGGAATGTCCTCATCTCAAACTGATGGGTCAGATGTCTCTGTCTCTGTCTTGTTAGTCTCACTCTCCCATTTCTCCAGAAAAGCCTGCAGGTTTAGATTGAAGGTATCAATACCCTTCCCCGATAGATGAACCCCATCTGGTCTGTAGAGTCCCAAACTTGGCCTTATGTTGCTGTCGCTCAATGTAGAGCCACCAAGTTCTGTCATAATTCCACATATGCTCTCATTAATGGCCATACGGATAATGTCCATTTCTTTGCTGTCTTCTGTGCCCCTCCAGGTCTGCCGTGAAAGGATGCTGGACCACACCAGCAGGCATTCGGGGAATATGCTCTTCAGTGAGGTCATGTCTTTCTTCACAGTCTTAATAAAGGCCTCTGGATCAGTTGTGCTTATGTCATTTCCACCCAAGTGGATTATAAGCACATCAGGTTTGGGCCAGTTGTCTTTGAGCTGGAGCAGCAAAGGTACAAGCTGTTGCCACGTCATGCCCTGCACGCCCTTCCACCAGATGCGCACTGAGTCTGGGTGCATGCCCAACTGCACTCCATACTCAGGAGAAGTAGCCCTCTTCTCAGCCCAAAACACAAGAGAGTGGCCACATATCCACACATTCTTTATCTCATTGGGGGTACTTTTACCTGTAAATATGTTACAATATAGGGTGTGCATTAACCTCGACAGGCTTGGCCACATGAAAAAGTGTTTGATGGTCCTTAATCTAACATC